GCCCCCCTTGCCCCCCCCCCTGAGGACGCCCACGCCCCACCCCCACACACAACTTTCTTTTTTAAGGCTCGCAAACGTTCTTTTTTTTTTTTTAACGCCTCTGAACTATATTCATATTCTAATGACCCACCCACTTCTACACCGCTGATTTATTTCACCGATAAGTTCAAGAAAAAAAGAAAAAAAAAAGAAAAGAAAATATTACGCACCAAACGCAGTTGCGATTTTTATTTCTATTTAAAGAATCTCATTTAGCGCAAAAATCGGGAATTTTATTTCGTGACATCATAATACTTCCTTAAACTTCCCCCTTGAAAATAGGGAAACCAAATTTTTGTGAGTTTGGGGTTTGTGGTGGTGCTAAAAATTTGGTCGAATGTGCGGTCATGGGTATTCAATCTATGTGCCAAGTTTCAGCTTAATCGGTTAGCCGGGAAGTGGGTCAATTAGTCGTTCGAAGGTCTTGCCAGCCCACACTAGACCCACCCAGCCGGCCACGGACAAAAGTGGGTTAATATAAAGAAGCCAGAGCGATCAAAAACATTGATCGTGGGCCCTCAAAAAAAAACTATGAAGAAGAAAAATAAAGGATTTGAAACTAAACACATCAACAAGTTTTGTGTACGCGTAAGGGAAACATTGCATTCCTTGCATTCCTTCCTACATTGTAAAATATACCAGGAACTGCGATGTCTAAGATTCCATCATGGTTAGCACTATTGAAATGTTTGAAAACTAGAAAAAGGATTTTTTTATTTTTTATTTATGCAAGTGAAAAGTTGACATAAAATCGGGTTAGTTCTATTTAACAAAATTTGTTTATTGTATTATGTTAACTTTTTTGTATTATGTTAACTTTTTACTGATGTGGTAAAAAAAAGAAAGCGAGCCTCCATTCCCCGTAACTCGTGTGACTTCCAAGTGGTTCGAAATGAAATAGTTGTTATTTCCCCTTCAATGGATCTACAATGAGCATGGGCATGATGTGGCCAAGGGGACATGTAACGCTGAATTCTATGGCGCATAATATGCACTTTCCAAATACGCGCCAAACACCGTGCACATTTTTTGGTACTAAATCTAATTGAGTTCCTTAAAAACGCGGATTGTATTTTTTTAATTTTATTTTACAGACATCGAATCAATTTATTATTATTATTATAAGTTTAAAAAAAAACAAAAAAAACAACAATATTGAATAAAATAATTAAACAACTATTTTTTTTAAGTTTTGCATTTGATTGTTAGAGTTAAGATCTGGTCATATTGCCTAGTTTGTTTTGTTGGTAAACGGGGGCATCGATCACAAGAAAATCGAACTCCGCAGCCATATTCGACATGACCATAAGAAACTATCTGAGGAATTTGATACAATCGCCTGACCTACAGCTTGTTCCTACAATATTTGGTAATAACCAACTTATCTCAAAAGATGTAGTTTTTTTTTAACAAATCGTAAAATATATAGATCTAGGGTTAAGACGAAAAACAATATAATAAAAAAAAAAAAAAAAATGAATTCGAGAGACGTTCTATGTAAGTAGCTATTTTTGGTGAGCGTATTTTTTAAACGTTTGGCGCTCAAAGATCTATGAAGGGAAAAGGTTGTGGGTGCGCCTCTCTTTGCTCCATGGATTTTAAATAAAACTTGATTCAATGTGCTTTCAACAAAATATAGTTGGGGAAAAAGAAGTATTTGCAACAAAAGATTAGCCGTTTATAGTACCGTAATCATCTCATTCTTTGTACGTACGGAAAAAGCTTGTTGCCCCATTTGAAGAAACTGCAGTTCATTGCGTGCATCATGCTATAAGTGCCGTGGGTTGGGGGGGGGGGCATTACATTAGAATTATCACATTGTTCAGGGGCGTGCACAGGGGCGTACCGATGGTGTTTGGCGCCCAAGGCAAAAGAGGGGGGGGGGGATTATTTTAAATAAAAATTAAGTTAGCCATTTTATGGCTACTTGGAGAGACTTTGTAGTGCTTAATTAGGAAGCGGGTTTGATACTTTAGCCAGTAAAAGTCAATGGATGTGGTGACAGGATTATGTGCCAACAGTGGAGATTTTACGACAGGACTTGATGCTAGTAGGGGAAGGTTTATGTGACAGAACTAGGTGCTAGTAGTGGAAGGTTTGTGTGACAGAACTAGGTGCTAGTAGTGGAAGGTTTATGTGACAGAACTGGGTGCTAGTAGTGGAAGATTTGTGTTAGAACAGGGTGCTAATAGTGGAAGGTTTTGTGACAGAACTGGGTGCTAATAGTGTAAGGTTTTGTGACAGGACTGGGTGCTAATAGTGGATGATTTTGTGACAGAACTGGGTGATAATAGTGGAAGTTTTGTGACAGGACTGGGCGCTAATAGCTCTAGTGGAAGGTTTTGTGACAGAACTTTGTGCTAATAATGGAAGGTTTTGTGACAGGACTTGATGCTAATAGGGGAAGGATTGTTGATAAAGAGTTAGGGTGTGAACTTGAGTGGAAGAAATTGCAAGATGACCGTGTGCTACAAGCGAAGGACATTGTGATACAAGAGAAGATCTTTGTAAGATAACACTATATTCCTAGAGGAGGATCAGGAAGCGAATTGAGCTTGCTTAGAATTAGGGCCTTTTGGCCAATATACGCCTATTTAAAAATAGAATAAAAAATGTTGAATATTCGTATATAAATTACGCTTCTGGTGTGACTCGTGGACTGCTTCAATAATGGACTGCTTCCTATTCAGTGTATTTGGTAAAGAGAGTATATTACAAATA